TTGTAGAATACTGGGGTACCCCATACTCTGCTGGACAGATTAGTTCGCCCCTATACTGTTGGGAGTAATTTGAATTTTGGCGTTTTTGATCGAGCTTGGCGCAACTTTTCGAGAATGGCAGCCTATTATCACGATTTTTATTCCCACCGTGCAACTTACCAGTATGAGAGGGAGATAGGAGGCCCGTGGATTGGAGATCGAGATGTAAGAGGACCTAGTAGTTGGCGAAGATACGAGCAAGACTACATGTATTCCGAGGAGATCGAGTACGGCTCGAAAGAGCACTCGAGCTCTTTCCATGGGTACTCCGAGCCACCAATTGTGCGAGATCCCAGCCCATCGCTAGAGGATATGGTGAAGGCACTAGAGGCTCACATGTTGAGATTTCGGCAAGAGTATTGTGAGCCATTTGTTGAGAGAGATCCTGGTCCATCACTAGAGGATATGGTGAAGGAGTTGACGGCTCACACCCTTAACTTTCAGCAAGGTGTTGAGGCGAGCATCTAGAACCAAGAGGCGAGCATCAAGAGCCAAGAGATGAGCATCAAGAGTCAAGGACTGCGGATAAGGAATTTACAAAGCCAAGTTGGCCAATTGGCGGAACAGATGAACCAACTATTGTATCGGCTCGAAACGAGTCAAATGAGTTCAAGCGGCACCTATTCGTGCAGCGAGGACCTCGAGGAACCTGAAGAGTGCACATACGAGCCGGAAAACGAAAAAATCACGAATATAGAGAAAACGGAGTCGAAACAGTCCAGTACGGGGATGGCCCATACTCGGCCTGTGGTGCCCCATACTCAGCCTGCTGTACCCCATACTGTACCTGCTGGAGCAGAAAAGCGTACCGTTCTTCCCGCTCTTGTGCCGATAGAAGCTGAGCCGTGTCCTATGTATTCTAATATGAAGTGGGCGTTGAGCAAGGATGCACTGAATCATGTCTTGGGCCTTGATATACCTTCTATTGAGACGATCGAGCAAAACAAAAGGTGTAAGTGGGAGTTTCATGAGATGGTGACCGTGATTGAGCGTGGTTTGCTACATATACATGGGGAATTAGCGTTATGGAGGAAAGATCCAGTAAAGCATCCAACGCCAGAAAGAGGGGATGTCGTCAAAGATGGGGCCTTGAGATTTGTGGCTCCCTTGAGGCCACCTCGGAAGCCGCCATGGACTTTTTGAGAAAAGAAACCAATAAGTCGGGCCAACGACAATAAAAAGAGGCGCTTGTTGGGAGGCAACCCAATGGTGTGCATGGTTTAGCGACTTCTTCGCATTGACTAAGGTGAACTCATTTCTTTTACCTCTGTTTTTGTTTATTTGAGTTTATTTGAGTGTCTATGATATATGCAAACTCTAAGTTTGGGGAGGTGGTTTCTTGGTGAGCATTCATGATTTATTATGTCATTATATTTTTGCCCCTTAGAGTTTGAGTCTTAGATTGATCGCATTATATTTGTCTTGCGTAAGTACATGTACGTGGAATTTTGCGATGATGACATGAGAGTCGGATCGAATTTATTGTGCTAGTTTAAATGACTTGAGTTGATTTTATTTGGTTAAATTCTTAAGGTGTTTTTATTTTGGGGACAAAAGCATGAAGGTTGATATTTTTGGGATTCATTTATGGTGGAGTTGGTTTTGAGGCGATTTGTATTGTTGACATGTGCTTGTGATTGTTTTAATCAATGTTGATTAAGTTTAGGGACTCGAAGTTGAAAGTTGGGGTTTCTATGTCTCATAGTAAAAAAAAAAGAATAATGAGGATGGAGGAATAATTGGTGGAGTTGAAAAGCCGTTTGGCACAAAAAAAATAAATGAAAAAAAAAAGTTATGGGCTGCAACAGCTGCCAATCTGTGGGGGCTCTAGTGTATAATTCCAATAATTTCGTATCTAGACGAGCATGAAAGGCTAAAACCCACGTGTTGTGACGGAGCTGCCGTTCCCTACTTAAAAAGAAAAAAGAAAAAAAAAAGAAGAAAGAGAAAAATGGAGAATGAGACATTTAGACTTCGGCTAGAAACGGAAAGGAACTTGACTTGTTAGCAAAGAGAGAGGTGTCATGAGTTGCATTGATCGATGCATTCATTACAAAGATTGATAAACTGGGATGGTCACTTGAATTGGTACTTGATTGTTTGAGTTCTTAAAATGATTTCATCTTGAGTCCGGATTAATTTATTTGAGTTATTTGAACTATGCACTTATGTGAGAAATGTGAGGCCCTGAGCAAATATTCCACGTACTTGTTTCATTGTCCATCGATGTGCTTATAGTTCTAAGTAGCTTGGGGACAAGCAACAGTTTAAGTTTGGGGAGATTTGATTGGTCGGAAAAAGTGTGTATTTTATATATTTATTAGCGTATTTTTATATGCTTAATTTTATCGCACTTATATATTTTTCGACTCATTTTTTTATTAGATGGATCCAAGTGCTATGATATTTTTATGGTTTATTTTTAGGATATTGGAGTGTTTTCAGCGGCAACGTGACATTGGAAGAAATTTCATCCGGAGCAGTACAGAGGTGCCCCGTACTGACTTAGTAGTACCTCATACCAGCCCAATATGAGCCCATGGAAAGAGGAAATAATATGGCCCAGAAGTTGATTTTCCTGATTTGCTTAAGTTAAAGTGTAGGCCCAAATAATGAATGGGTCCAAATCATGGAAGACCTGTAGGATTTATTTGAGGTCATTTGGAAAGAAAAGGAATCCTATATCGGCCAAGAGAGAATGATTTGGCTGGCCTTATTTATTTATTTTAGAAAGAGAGTCACTTGGGCATAGAGGAAATAAATTGGTAGCCACTTTATATACCCATCAGATATATATTTATTTGACGAGAGCACGCATAAAAAAGGGAAGGGGGGATTTATTTACGAAAAGCCAGAAAGAAAGAGCCCTCATACAAACAGAAGAAAATATTTGCCGCAACAGAAGAAGAGAAAGCAGACGCGAGGAATCCGACTTTAGCGGAGGGAGACCGCACACGCATACAAGAAGGATAATTATATTCTTCTCTTTTCCTTTATATTTAATATGTTAGGGTATTTTTTATTTCTAGTTCCGGTGAAGTCGAACCCTATGACTTGATGATGTTTGATTGATTTTCGTGGTTGATTCTTGAGATATCTTTTTGGAATTGCTTGTGTTATTTTGAATAATTAACCATGATGTGTTGAGTCTTATCTAGATTGATCATCTAGATTAGGCTTTTCATATCTATAGCTGAATTAGGCCTTCAATCCATAATTGTTGTTGTGTTTAATTCAATAGAGGCTACCGGAAGACGGTAACTACCGGGGATAACACGGCCTATTTAAGTGAGCGAACTCGATTGAGTTCACTACTTAGTCTAGTCTATTTTTCTAATTCGTAAAGCGGCTGATTGTATTAAATCTTGAAAACGTTTTTCTGGACTGTACAAGAAGTCAGGTTTAATCGTAGAGCGTCTCGCGGTTAAATTAAACTTAAGGAAAAATTCGGGTAACTGACCGTGTCGTTGCCTAGGGCTAGTAATTCCATAAGATAGCGAGATTTGATACTAAAATTGATTAGACGAGTCAGTTGAGGGTGTAGACGGAACCGTGGACTAGAAGCTTTCTCTTCATTAATTTTATTTTATTTTTTTATTTATATTTCATTAGTTTAGTTATTATTTCAAAATCGGCCCTCTTTTATTGCTTTTATAACTCAATTAATACAAGAAAATTAAGTTTTGATTCACACTCCCTGTGGGTTCGACCCTTGCTCACTACTACAACTAGTTGGTAGAAGTTGGTTAAGGAAAATATAAATAATAGTTTTGCCGCGTTGCGACGCGCGGTCATAATTCTCAAACCTAGTTGGTAAACCAAGTCTGTACATGTGTCATTAGGAAGCACAAATTTATGTCAAATAAGCTTTCGAAGCATACAATCTGTCACTTAGGTTATGCACGTCCCAGAATTATATGTATGGGTGATTCTCCGTACAAGAATTTGCTAAATATATGTAAGTGTAAAGTGTATAGGAAACACAGTGCATTTTTTTTTTCTTTTTCAAACGACTAACACTTATATAAATAGAAAACTCAAAAAGAGTACAGAGGGATGTCAACTGACACCAAGGAACTAGATAATTGGACATACCCTCTTGAAATTGCAGATGAACCTAAGAGTTACAACTCCACCAAAAAGGCAACCGCAAAATCAAAACAATACTCCATAATGGATATGAAACTCCATGAAAGAGATCAAACTAGATAAGCTGGACTAACACACGGGAAATAAATAAAAATGCACACCTAATGTACATATAAACTAAGACCTCTCCTACACCTGACAGACCCAAGGCCCGGCCACCCGAGACCGCACACGAGCCACTTGCAATAGCATGGAGATCCAACAAAGCCGCAAACCGGAACTTCAAGCCCGACAATTGCGGCCACTTGTATCACCTAGACGGATCTGATGAAGAGTCTGCTCTCGATTTAGATCTAGACTCCGGAAATTATCCACGCCGAGGAATAAGGGGAGCCACCAGAAAAGCCACCAGTTACCCAAGTCGGAGGACTCTCAAAAGAGGTCCAAAAGCGCAACGACCCGCACCCTTGGACACGGCAACAGAAGGCATGAACCCATACTCACCGACGGTCGGTGAACTCAGAGGCTAGGGACCCGATATTATCATTATAATTATCTTTTATTTTTAAAATTTAATTCCACTCAACCCTCCCTAATATTATCAATATAATTAAAATATCAATCAATCATCCATAAAAATCACCTAAATTTTAATTCATTATTCATCTACTCACTTAATTTTAACTACTCATCACTTCTAATTACAACTCTCATATTTTTACATCAAATCAATTATCATTATTTTATTTAAATACTATTTTAATACAAACTCAAAATTCCACTCAAACTTAATCCAGTCAATTTTTTTTTTTTTTATTTTTTTTAAAACAAAGGGGCTGTGCGATTTGTGCTTCTGNCTTTTATCCAAGCATCCACAATTTCTTCAGAGTTTAGAAGTAAACTATGGGGACAACAGTCGATAGAGCACTGGCTGTTGCTATCCAAATCAGGATCAGACAAATTATAACGTAAACTAGTACTTACTTCCTGGTTTTTCAGAATTTTGTTTTACACCATGTTACTGATTTACAAATTCAACAATATTTCCATTACATCTGAACAGTTTTACTCATTTTCTTCACTGTTGCCATGCTAATTCCAAAAATAATAATAATAATATAAATAAAAATCCAAATGTAGATTGAAAATGTGCTGGACCTGAGCATCTCAGTTCGTTTTAGGCAGAAGATACACCACACCAGTCTCATCTTCATTTAGCACACACAGCAATTCTCATCTTTTTCTCCTTCTCCTGAGCGCCATTCCAAATGAGAATTACGATCATCATTTACCATAACTTCAAACGTCGAGAAGGGTTAAAGCGATTTCATGTGAAAAACTCCCATCATTCTCCCTCACTCTCTATAATTGTTAGAGCCCGAAGATTAGCCTACAATTGTAAGAGACCGGAGATTAGCCTACCTCGATAGATAAAACAAAGATTCCCATCCATCAAAGTTACAAATACCCACTAGGAGTTTTCTATGCACTTTGTTAATGTATATGGTATAGATTAGAGTAGCAATTAGTATAACATTGTAATCCCGGTTATTTGGTTTACTTTTCTTCTTTAGTTCCAAGACTAGTATATAAACCATTGTAACATTATACTCTTGAAGAGGTTCAGAAGACGACGAGTGTTTTACTTGGAAACAACAAACAAATCTGAAGCGTGGGCATTTGAAATTCGGTAAAAATTTTCCCTAATCGACCCTCACTCTCATCTTTCCCTTGGACGAGAATTCGACAGCCGACATACTCAAAAGCTTGTTGATGGACATCCCCTCACCCAAAACCTCCTTTCTCTCTTCATACCGGTGCTTTATCCGGCCATCGAGCTTGTACCCGAGAAAGGCGGGAAAGGACAAGAGCTCCCGGACCTCACGCCCCATTTCCTCAACCAAATATCTCATTTTCTCCTCCAAAGACACGTGATTGTACTGCAAAACCTGCGGATGCTTAACGCTCATCTCCATAATATCCTCGCAAGTCAACCCGTAATTCAACAAAACCCCAATCACTTCCTGCACATTCCTGCAGCTGCACCTCGTCACAGCCCCCATTGCGTAAGCCAGCCCCCGACTCCTATTTTCATACCCGATTTTCACCAACACCACCAATTTATTCGCGAGGTTCCCCTCGAACGAGAGGCTCAGGAACAAAGGCGCCTTTATCAAGAATCTGAGTATGTCCTTTGGACTCAGTCCACACTGCTTCAGAAAATCGATCCTGGACTGGAGTTTCCTTTCCACGCTCGAACTGAATAATCCCGGGAAAACGAGCACGATTCGGAAAAACTCCTCACGGCTGAGACCTGCATAGGACTCGAAGAACTCAACGTGGTTCTTCAAGTGGTCGACTGTGTATGACAATATGGAGGGGAATTTACGCACTACAGTGCGAGTGGCATCCTCATCACCACTGCTCAACTCTAACAAAAATCCCATTCTCGGTAGCAATTGAGTCTGCAGATCGTAATTAAGGACGGTGGGCCTACACACGATTAAGTCAACGCCTCCAAAACGTTGTAAAAAGGCGAGCGTTTTCTCGATTTCATCCAATGGCTTCACACACAATGCCTTGGTAAGATTGACGTGGTTGAGAACGTGGACGAGCTTTTCTCTGGGAATGCCGAATTGAAGTAGCAGCTGAACCTTTTCCTCGAATCCTGCTACGAATCCGAAGTTTGTTGCCTTCAACAGACGCTCCACCTGGGAAGGCTTCATTTGGCCTTTTAGCCCTAAATCTTTATCATTGGTAATGAAGCAAAGCAGTGCACCGATTTCTTCAGATGTTAATATGTAGGGATTTTTAAGGATTAATCTGGAAAGGGAGAGGGCGTTTATGCCAGTAGATTGCAACAACTGAGCTCTGCTGCGAATTGATTCAAATGAGGTTATTCTAAGATCTGCATTGTTATTGTTGTTTAAAATTGATTCAGTCTCCTTCTCATTCAGCCCTAATTCTTGAAATAAAGGGAATAGCAGCATACCTGTTCAATCAAACGGGAACAGCATTCACCTAAGTAACCAAAAAACAATTAGAGGAATAGGAGCATTCACAAGTTCAATTTGAGGTTTACTTACTCAAGTCCGTTATCGCGCTTGTCAATTGATTGCCATTGATAGTAAGAGAACCACAGCAGCAGCTGAGTAAGAGGGGAGATTTACGGCGGAGCGGAAAGCAAGACAATTTACTGAGACAGAAAGAAGGGAAAGCAGGGCAATTAAGGTAAAACGACGGCGTAAGAAATCGAGAATTAGTCGTCGGAGCAAAGGGGATTGCAGCCATTGATGAGTGAGTTCAGTGCGTCCTGAGAAGAAGATTTATGTTAGGGAGATAAGCTTCAAGCGTTTTATGTGGTCGCTCTTTTACAAACTGACAATTTTAATTATAACGGAAAGCTTATTGGAGTGTACGTTTCAGTTTGTACATCTTAAACTAAAAAACAGAAAACAAAATACAATTTGAAGCGGAAAGACGAATTCGAGGCAAGTGTTGCTATTTCTGACGAATACGTCCCGTAATGAGCTGTCGAGTTCAGATGTCTCATCTTCAAAGATACAACGGTTGACGTCTCAAAGGCTGTAGCACAACATACTTCTGAGCTCCGTCGTACTTGAACAGAATCGAGTACTTAACGCTATATGCAGATGATCAGATGTTGTGTATTTCTGCAACTCTAAACATGTTCTATTTATAGGACTTCCAGCCAGTAATAGCCCAACCAACAACAACCCACTGATGGTTGTTGTTAATGAGTAGTTTTTCAGGTATTCACTCACCTTCACAACTTGATAACCATCGAAACAATAAGGTGGAACAGGTGGAAGGTCACACATGTCCAGGGCAGTAAACCTAGAGATATCTCACACACGAGTTGGGTCAAAATTCGAGTCCAAACCCAACTCGGTTTGGATTTCATCTTGGGCTTCAGTTTTGCAAATAAATTTGGAGCGAAAAAAATAATAGGGGTAGAGTCCAAGGCACAAGCCAGCACCGGCCCAGACATCCAAGGCCGTCCAATTCCAGCCTACAGACCCAGTCTAAGGACCAAGGACCAAGTCTCAAGTCCTAAGTCGTCCAAGGACCAATGACCAAGTCTCAAGTCCATGTCCCAGGCCAGTTCCCGAGCCCGAGCCGAGCTGAGCCGGTGGGCGCGCGCGCACGTGTGGTCGAATCCATCACCAATACTTGGTGCATAGTTTTGTTGTTGTTATGATCTCTCCTACTCTCTTTATTATTATAAAGAGAGTTAATCCCCTTTAAGAGTCCAATGTGGGATAGGACTTTTGACCGTTCGAATACCACAACCAACATTTACGTGCCCATTAATGACTGTGTTTGCAGGTCATGAAGGTCAACCATCAGTGAGGACGACATATCAGGTCAAACCAAATCGGTCGAGGGACTTTTCATACCATTTGGAACCGTCTGTGGGAAACTCTGTCCAAAAGGACATCGAAGTTCCACCATCCATGGCGAACGAAATTCCAAGAGAAAAAAAAAAAAAAAAACTTAGGGTCGACTTTTGACGATGTGTGGACGACCACACGTCCGTTCGGAGCAGGCCCCACTAGGCTTCTCCAGACCTTCACAGACCGAGTGTTCCCAACGCCTCATCTTAGAGGCTTGGGGAGCTCATCTACGGTACCCATCACAGTAGCAGGCTCAAGCAACCTGCAGAGGCTCGAGCTACCCAGGGGGTTGTGGTTCTAGTGCAGATGCAGCGAGAACCAGTGCAGATTCCATCGATGGCACCACCCAGGATTGAGGTTGAGCAAAGAGGACGACAACTCGTTATGCTGAGGAACTCAGAAAAATGATTGTGATCGCAGCCGGAGCAGTCCAGCAGACCACTAAACAAACATCCTAGGAGACCACCACACCAACTACTGTGGTGGGAACGGACAAGAAAAGAGACGGAGGCTAAAGAATCAAATAGCAGGAGACTGGTGCACACAGATATCGAGTGGTGGAGAGAATGGCGGAGCAAATCCACCAGCTGCTGTAACGCCCCGAATATTATTACTATTTATCGAACTCGACTTTATTTCCATATATAGTCATTTTCCTTAATTGATGCATTTAATTATTATTATTTTCGTTAAATTGAGTAATTAGTATTAAATCTAAGCCATGAAGAATTTATTTGATTTTTAGTTATTTAAAATTGGATTTATTTAGCCCAAGTATCGGTTTATTTTTAAGGTAAAATCGAGCCTTGAAATAATTGGAATTTCATTAAGTTAGGCCGAAGCCCAATAAACGAGCGAGTCCATATCTATCCGGCCCATTTTATTAGTCTGATTGGCCCATTTATTTATTCCAGCCCATTTAATTATAAATCGAGCCCAACCATTTTATGAATGTTGACCAAGTCAACTTCGTATTTCATAGTCCCGTTATATTTTAGACTCGGGCATTTAATTCCTAAGTCTAAGTTCGATTTTATTAGCCCGATTTTAAGGCCCAAATCCAAGAAAACTCTAAGTGCCTACACACAACTATATATATATATATATATATATATATCATCATCCATCTCCCCCATTCAATTTCCACCTCAAAAACCCTAGCCCAACACCATCCTCTTTCACCTTCAAGTTCAAGCAAGAGTTCATCATTTTCACTCATTCACCTCACAAATCCAACGAACTCCACCATCTCCGGCCACCTTACCGTCCGGCGAAGCTCACCTCCACGCCAGCGCCACTGTAGCCATTCGAGAGCCCTTACTCACGGGGTCGCAGCTCCTCCACGCTACCATCCCGCAGCTCCCTTCCCGTTCACGAGAAGCCATTGCCACAGCTCTCTCTCTCCCCGCAGCCGTCGCAGCTCACTCTCTTCCGACCAGACGAAGCCGCTGTAGCCCTGACTAGCTTCGGTCTGCAGCCTCTCCAAGCGTCGTCCGTATGAGTCAGCTTCACGAGCCAGCTCCCTTCCGACGCCGGCGAAGCCCGCTGCATCTCCGACCAGCACTGATCCGCAGCTCTTCCGCCCATTAAGCCTGGCCACACCCTGCTCCAGCGAGTTCACGCTGATCTCCGTCGCGCCACAGCCAACCGCTGTCATACGAGCAAGTCCTGACCAGAACCGAACCCGTGTTGTTTAGACCCATGACCACTGCGGCAGATCCGTACCTCCCAGCTTAGATTCAAGTCCAACCCGAGCCAACTCGGCCCGACCCGGTCAGATCCAAGCCTTGTCACATTTTCTCTAACCCTAGCCATCTTCTAATTTTTTGTTTGAGCCTGTTTCTGAGGTATAAGGCCTAAACCCTCCTCCATGGCATTAGAAATGAATTATAGTTAATTATAAAAATGAGAATTGAGGATTTTGAGCTAGATGTGATTTTAAATAAATTTATTGAGTTAAAAGGCTATAAATCCATATTATATCGTGAGCTGATCCAAAAAAAAATGATTCCAATTGGAAAAATCCTACTTTGATATCTTGAGGCTTGGGCTAAATGTTCGTGAATTTTAGAACTCGTTTGATATGTGAACAGAATTTGTGAATTTGGACCATCAATGACCGATTTTAGTTACCTGAGTTTGGGGCTGAATTTTGGATGGGATATTTTGACCATAAATCACATAGATGTTGAGAATTCTCTGGTCGAAATTTCATAATTTTTAGATGTCGTTTGATATGGATTAAAAATCAGGACTTTATCCGATTAATGCGATATTTTTAGATATTAGTCCAGTTGCATTTTAGCTGCAGTTGATGGATGTAAAATCCTTATAAATCACATAGAATTAGGTTTTAAAAATATCAGCTTTAGATGAGTTAGGATTTTCGAGAATCAAGGACCCTAGTTTTATCTGGTTCCGATAATTGGGTGATTTTCGGATCCATGTTTAACCACCCGAACCCTAGTACCGTGTAAACAACTTTAGACGTTATAAGGTTATAAAGGAGTCTTTGGGTTTTGGGGCAGAGCCACCGAGTGCGTGCTCGTGCACCGAGTCTGACCGAGTCGTGCCACTGCGCTCTAATCAACGCCCGTGCGTCCGTCCAAGCTACCACCTACGTGATATTTTCCGTTAGTCGTGGTCCAAGCGTGCCCCTGCGTCAGTGACCGTGGCACCATTTCAAACCCATGCATCGGCAAAGCCGTGTCAGCTGTGTTCGTGCAGACCACGAGTTGTCATGCCGAACTCAGACCACGGTCAAGCCGAGCTGCACATAATTAAGCGAATGATCAACTAGTTTCGAGTAAGCCGTCGGTCCAGTTCAGTCGAACCGGTCTGGGTAGTCCAGACGGTTCGAAGAGAATACCATTTAGCCGAATCAGTCCGAGCAGCCCGGACGATTCGGGAGTTCAGTTCAGAACATCGATTTGAGCGTGAACTGATATTCCAATTTTTCCGAACCAGTCAGATTAATCCAGTCAGAGTATAGTCCAGAGTCTCCAGACTCAGAAATATTTCGAAGAACTCTAGTATGCCTCATTAATATTTTCAAATCAACTCGTTAATTCCAAAAAGAGTTCTAAATGATTTTCAAAACCCAATGAGCGAACCTAGTCAGATCAGATAATAAGATTCGAGTTTTTCAGTTGGAGCAAAGTACTTAGAATATATATTGTGCTTATATAGGTGGAAAATCGAAAAATCTTAACAAAGGGGGTATCTTTAGATGAGGAAGAGTTTAAGTTACGCGACTTAGGCCGTTAGATCGAGGTTGAGATCAATGGTCAGGATCAAGCAGGTAGGTTGGAAAGGCAGTTCAAGCGGAGCCATCAAATCAGGGTACAAAAATGGCTAAGATCAAAGGAGGCGAAGTCAAAAGGACAAGTCTGAGGGAGCCGTTGGATCATGGTTGAAATCACTGGCTGAGATCAGACAGGCAAGTTGAAAAGACATCGATTTCTAAACCATCAGATTAAAGGTAGATCGAAGGGTCCTCATTAAAAGAGCATTTAATGGGCATTGTACGAGGCCAGCATGAATTACGAAGAGATGACGCAGACAAGACGTTGTGACTGATGGAATCTTATAAGAGACACAAATTGAATTTAAAGTTTGAATTCAAGACCACAAGGGAAGGTCGAGAATATTGCTGCAAAATTCAAGGTAGTATGAGCATCCAGGTCGAAAAATAAGTTTTGAAACTCACCAACCAAAATAAAAAACAAAAACCCACTCTTATATTGAGTTATCCTAACTTTACCAGACAGGGGTAGGGGGGGACCAAATAATATGGGATACCACACCAAGTAGAACAAACTGGATAAACTGACTGACCACGCCAAACAAAATGGCAGGTCGAATAGGAGCACATGTAGGTCGAACGGAGGTCAAACGTCAGTACAGAATAAGGAATATTCAAGTCGAGGATGACATTGAAGGTATAAATAGGCACCAACAGGTTGAGTTTTGGCCCTCAGAC